AGATTTTAAACTGTTAATGCAGTCAGCTAACTGCAGGTGCTGTATTTATCTTGTTCAGACAGATTATTTCTACATCTAGCACTGGGGCTGGTCTCTACGACCAGTTATATGTCAGAATAAAGCCTCTATCCAACATGTAATTATTGTCATTCTTTTTCTTTTTTTCCCATATTTCAGTTCAAATCATGCTCTTGATCTCAATTAATTATTAAGTGTTTCCCCCCCCCCCCACCTCTTGCCTGAAACGCACTTTGCTGTGGGTATTAGTGGCTTTTGGCGTAGTATATACTAGCTGTATCTACAAATCCAGCATTCTGTTTGTAACTCATTTTGTATGTATGTACTTTTACCTAAGTAAACATTATTACAATCATAGTTTTTCTCGAAAGAGAGAATTCAGTAGTTTACCATATTTTCGAGATTTAAAGAAAACCTAGCCTGTGCACGATGTGTGGGACAAACTAATACAAAATGGAGACTAAGACAGACAGACAGACAGACAGACAGACAGACAGACAGACAGACAGACAGACAGACAGACAGACAGACAGACAGACAGACAGACAGACAGACAGACAGACAGACAGACAGACAGACAGACAGACAGACAGACAGACAGACAGGAAGGAAGGAAGGAAGGAAGGAAGGAAGGAAGGAAGGAAGGAAGGAAGGAAGGAAGGAAGGAAGGAAGGAAGGAAGGAAGGAAGGAAGGAAGGAAGGAAGGAAGGAAGGAAGGAAGGAAGGAAGGAAGGAAGGAAGGAAGGAAGGAAGGAAGGAAGGAAGGAAGGAAGGAAGGAAGGAAGGAAGGAAGGAAGGAAGGAAGGAAGGAAGGAAGGAAGGAAGGAAGGAAGGAAGGAAGGAAGGAAGGAAGGAAGGAAGGAAGGAAGGAAGGAAGGAAGGAAGGAAGGAAGGAAGGAAGGCGGCGGCAGCGGCAGCGGCAGCAGCAGCAGCAGCAGCAGCAGCAGCGGCAGCAGCAGCAGCAGCAGCAGCAGTAATAATAATAATAATAATAATAATAATAATAATTATATTAATTAATTGGGTCTGGGAGACAGTCAACCAGAGTGTAATCATACACGTTAGGCTAATATCGAGTTCCCCCAAGGTCAAATTACTCACCCCGCCCAGGATGTAACCACACAACAAGCCGACTAACTCCCGAGTTCCTACTAACTGCTATGTAAACAGGTGCATTAGGTGATGGGAAATGTGCCCAACCGTTTCTGTCCTGCCCAGGATTCAAACCCGGAATTCTCGATTGTGAGTCGAGAACGAACTCGACTCTACTACCGGTACCCCTCATTAAATTAATTATTTTTTTTTTATTTAGGAAAAGTACATACATAGTTGATTTACAAACATTTACAACACAAAATGTTGGATTTATAAATAAAGCTAGTACATACAATACCTAAAGCCACTAATACGCATTGCGTTTTGGGTTTTAGGTGTGTGGTGGGGGGAGGAAACAGACTAAAACTTAATAGTAATTGGGATCTTGAGGTTATCTTGATTTGATTTCGGGGCTTTAGTGTCCCCGCGGCTCGGTCCTCGACCAGGCCTCCACCCCCAGGAAGCAGCCGTGACAGCTGACTAACACCCAGGTACCTATTATACAGCTAGGTAACAGGGGGCATAGGGTGAAAGAAACTCTGCCCCATTGTTTCTCGCCGGCGTCTGGGATCGAACCCAGGACCACAGGATCACAAGTCCAGCGTGCTGTCCGCTCGGCTCCCAGGTATAATAGGTATAGGCTCCCATGTATAATAGGTATAGGCTCCCAGGGATTAGGTATAAATTGTATTGAAAAAAGGAATAAAAAATTAAAAAGGGAGGGAACATGGCAGTTTTTTTTTATCTTTGTTAGTTTAGTTCATTTATTATGCACCCCATACCCATCTAGTGGGCAGTAGAGTGAATCTCATAATCTCAAGGGAACAAGGCAGAAATCAGCAGTTGTATAAATTGGTGAACAGATGCAATGCACTGCAATCAGAACTACCAATGTGCTTTAATATACCTACTAATCTCTCTCATTTTTTTTCTTGCAATGTATCTGTTCTTTTATTAATTCTGCTAGAATTTACCTATTTAAATTATCTGTTAGATTAATTAAATTAAGAACCTGCCCGAAACGCTGCACATACTAGTGGCTTTACAAGAATGTAAATACTGTACTGTACCATGCTATGTATCCTCACAAACCCAATGTACCTTCTTGTATATAAATAAATAAATAAATAAATAAATAAATAAATAAATAGCAAGACATGGCAGGAACATCCCTGATACTGTCTGGGATCATCCCAGATGCTGTCTGGGATGATCTCTGACGTAGGTTCGAATCCTCGTCATGGCTCTTGTGGATTTGTTCATTTGATGCATCATGCAATTGTGATTTGTGTGTGTAATGAAATAAGGGTGACGAGGGAAAACGGCCTATTGACATAGCACGAGGGCATGGGGGAGTTGTGTAAAACCCTGGTTTGTCTCTCAGAGGCTGCAGGATCCAGTAAGTTTAGTAGAACTTCGGTTTCAACTCTTTTGACCAATGTCATAGCTCAGTCGATAAAGGCATTGTCTGGGATGATCTCGGACTTAGGTTCGAATCCTCGTTATGGCCCTTGTGGATTTGTTCACTAGAGCCTTAATCTAACAGATAATATTAAGTTGGTAAAGGACCTACCCGAAATGCTATGCGTGTTAGTTGCTTTACAAGAATGTAAAGAAATCAATGCTATGCACTGCAGACGATGAGTCACAATAACATGGCTAAAATATGTTGACCAGACCACACACTAGAAAGTGAAGGGACGACGACATTTCGGTCCATCCTGGATCGTTCTCAAGTTGATTGTGAAGACAAGTCAAGACCATTCTCACAATCGACTTGAGAATGGTCCAGGACGGACCGAAATGTCGTCGTCCCTTCACTTTCTAGTGTGTGTTCTGGTCAACATGCTATCCACTCTCATAAACCCAATGTACCTTCTTGTATATAAATAAATAAATAAAATAAATAAATTAAATAAATGATGTTCGTCCTGTGTTGTCGAAGATGACCATGCCTTCAATTAATGGGTTGAAGTCATGACTTGCACTTGGTCATGGATTTGACTTGAAGTGAAGGAGAGTTACACAGCTCGTCAGCCTCTCTCTCTCTCGACCCGGCCTATTTTGGTCCAGCAGGACAAGTCAAGTCAAGACGGCAGGAGATAGGGTAGGATGCAGTGGATGGCCAGCAGTGTCCTACGTATCTCGCTGCGCCCTAGTTGCGCTCCACAATGTTTTGCCGAGTCCGCCTTCCTGCCCATTGAACCATTTTCGTAGTTTCCTCCACGCAGTCTGTCAGGACCAGTTTTCACATGCCGTAGGTAGACAAGCATGTGGAGGGTCTCAAACCTTCGGCTACCTCACCTGGTTTTGCCGATGGTTTTTACCAACCCTTTTTGTAATATACATCAATAACATATTTACCCCGAGGGCCACTATCTCTAGTAACCTCGATGGGGGACAAAGCTGGCAGCTGAATTTTAAACTCAAGTATTGTATTTTTTTGGCATTTGTATCTTATCAGATATGCATATAGAGACCTCACCTACATAAAATTGCATAACCTTTTCTGGAAAAGGTTCAGTGCATATCAACAAAAATCTAAGAAAAAACATCTGAAGCCCAAGGTGTTGAATGAATACCATCCAAAAATCGTAAAAGAACTGGCCAACGAACTGTGTCTACCACTGAACATCTATTCACCGTTTTTTCTACCAAGCTGAGGTATACACAACAGTGCTGCTGCTACCCTAATTCTATATGAAAGATTACAGTGTAGATAAAAATCCTAGCTATAAGTTCATCTAACATCCCCATCTCGCAGAATGGTTAGTCATACATGGAATCATGAGAAATCTATTAGCCTGCACTAGCCAAACTTGGGTAGAACACAAAAATATCTTCCAATATTCGCGAGTGTATGAAGTAGTTACAGAGCTCAAAGTACCTCATACCATACAAAATATGTGTATGGAGCAACACTTGGGAAATGTAGACATGCAACCAAATGGCTTCAGAACTGAAAAACAAGACCTATGATAAGAGGATAGAGGTGTCAATATGAGCTGGAAATAAAAGAAAAAGAAGCGATATGATCACTATGTAGAAAATAGTAACAGGAATCGACAAAATTGATGAAGAATTCTTGAAAACTGCAACATAAAGAACTTAAGGTCACAAATTCAAGCTAAGGAAACAAGGCTACCATGAAAATATTAAAAGTTCACTTTTGCCAGCAGAGTGACAGACAGTTGGAACAAGTGAGCAGGTGGTGGATGCCAAAATCATCAGGAATTTCAAAGCATCATATGACATTACTGGGAAGATGCGACACCACGAGCGAAGCTGTCATCGTGCAAGCATACTTGGGTAATTACACACCTCTTCATTCACTGTCAACAAGAATCAAACAGTAAGAGCCCTGACAGGCTGGCTTGTTGGCAGTGTATGCATACAATCTGAAGGGAAACAATTGTTTGATCCACTGAACACTAGCCCATGCAGAAATTCAGTACAGAAATGCCACACTATGTAATTACCAAAGTGTAGTTACAGTAAGATGGTGTTCCATCTTCCCTATAATCTGTCACATGACTTTTTAAACTTCAAATTGTATTAACATCAGCCACCCTCATTTAAAATACTGCATTTTTTTTTTGTTTACTATATATTCTCAGCCTAAATTTGACATCTTTATCGCGAAGTTATAGCTTTTAAAAATCCCTCGTCAACCTTTAGTAGTATAACTGGAATACAGGAGAGAAAAAAAATCTAAAACTAGGAAACTACCCTTAACTTGACTATAACAGTGCTTCATGGAACACCATTCCAACTGTTTTACCAAATGTTATATTTCATCCAGTACGTGAGGGGCCATGGGTTTCAATATTTAAGAACAATTACACACACAATTGTTCAAGTCCTGCAGGAAGTAAAATTCATTGAAAGGAAAATCAAATGCTCTTTAATACAATACACATGTAATAACAAACTTGAGATTCACATGTAGTTAGAAATAATAGATTTTATTTTACATTTACAGTATACTGTATTTATATATATATATTTATATACTGTATAAACATACAGTACATGTATATATATAAATACATACACACTTCAATACACTGAGCTTAGTCTCATTGTAGAACAAAAAATTACATGTCACTCTGCACTGAGGAATATAATTTACACATGAATAGATGAACATAAAATGCAATACTGTACTACATCACCTTATGGCTAAACAATTAAAATATATTTGTGCGAATGGCTGTCACTAAAATTCATAAAATTTACCATATCAAAATACTGTTCAAAGAAAATATTGTAAACTAGCAATTTTGTTAGTAATAGCACATTACAAGGCTATAAATAAATTATTGCAATTGCTTGACAATTAAGAGTAGCAAATAAAATATTGGTACCACTATTGGTCTACCACTTCTACGTCACAGAAATATTGCATACTGAATGCTCTGATAGTCTTTATCACAGAAAGCTTTCCTCCACCAATAGCCTAAAAAAATGCAGTTTGACTTCCATATGAAATTTCACCAATAATCAATTAGTTACAGGTTTCAAGTACTGTACGTGATTGTAAAAGTTAGAAGGCTATTCATTTTTTTTTTCCAAGTTTATAAATATAATCTTGATGGCTATACATTATTTTTCACAGGGAAAACTAAGACAATAACTTTAGTTTAACATACCAATTAAAATGATATGTAAAGAGTATAAAAGCTATGTATACAAAATTGTAACAATAGGCAAGTACTTGCAGCACAAAAATACCTAGCAAGGTTGCATAAATGGGTGTAAGAGGCACATGTCTGGGGCAGAGGAATTTGCATTACTGCTTGGTAAAAACTAAACTATTTCTTGAAACTATCCTACATACACCCAGCAAGTATCATGTGCTCATCGTAACATGGTAAATATTACACAGTAACTGCATTTTTTTTTTACATATTTTTTTATATTTTATTTGTTTTGAGATCTGGGGGTGAGTGTTTGGTAGGTGGAAGATGACTGGTTTAAAATTAGACGTAAAAAAAAAAAAAATTAAAATTCTTTAATAATAAAAAAATAAAATACCCTAGACATGCACTGTATAATGGGATACTGTCAAATTCTCATTTTGAGAATCAATTCAATATAATACTGGAATGTCCTCAACTTTGGTAAAATTACAATATACATATTCAACAATATCTTTTGATACCTACCTTCAAAGGAATAACTATCAGATACTAACTGTATAAGATATCAACTGGTATAAAAACAACCACTGTCCACAGGTAAGATCACAGATCACAGGGGTTATTTAAAAATTATTAAAAATTCACTGAATGCACTAAATTCTTGCTTTCTCAGCTGTACGAGTGTCCATTTGGATAATTAATCAGCTGAGCTCTAGAACCTCTATTGGAAATGGTTCCTGCTTCAGGGTCAGAAAACTGTACAGCACTAAGGGTTCCTAGTCTCTGAGGCGACGTGCTTGGCCCAATTGCAGATCGCATCGGGGATGTGGGCGTGTTGGGCAAACTGACTTGTGGGGTTGTACTCTGGGGCTGGCCAACATATTGTCCATCAATTGCCATTCGAACCTGCAGCAACAATTTATATTAAAGAACTGAATGTTGGCAAAAATTGATCCAAATGAACAAATTTGCACTGTATATGACAGTATTAGCATGAGCCACTAAAAATGCACTCAAGTGGCTATATTAGGTTATTATTAAGACCCGTATTAAAATTATTTAACACAAAAACCTTAGAATGAAAATGCTTGAGCACCTAAATACAGGTAAACAATAGATACAGTATACCCTAAAGCAACAGATGACATGCCTATATTTTTGCAAACAATAAATCAGTACCTGTACTGATTTAATGAAATCGCCTGTATGAAAAATTACAATTTATGCAATAATAAATGAAAAGGTAATAACTGGGATCAAGCGAAGTCCCTGTATGTAGCCGAGCAACTGGTCCATGCTGTGGAAGAGGAAAAGCATTTAAAGATGATTTTAGAAAAAAAAAGTATGATAAAATATAAGAACATACTGACCTCCTTTAAAGCCAAAACTCCTATGAGTCTTCCAATAGCAGTGACATATGCATGGTTGATCCCCAGCATAGAAAACATCGAGTGGACACGCAAGAGCGATGTTCTTTCAACCAATTGGAATGGAGCAGGGTCTATGTGGCATTTACTAAAGTCCACCTGAAGAAGAGAACACATTTTCTCTGATCATGATATCCACTGAAGGAGCCCAACTTTGTACAAGGTTGCATTCTTGGAGATACGCATTTTACATGGCTTGAGTCTACTTATTAAAATCCTTAAGATAAAAATTGTATTTCATGAGAAAACTAAATTTGTTCCATATACAGTACTGTACTATAAAGGCAATAATTTTAGCTTATTTAAAGATATTGAGCAAGGTATTCTTAAAAATAAAATTGAATGTTTTATTAGGTTATAAAAATATAATGTTAACCCCTTTACACTGTCTAATGCTACAAGTTCTATGCATTCATAAAACTGATACCTAATAATTTCCAGTAAACTATCCTTTTACTGTGTTTATTGTACAGTAAAATTGCAAAATATAATTATAAAATTGTATTTACAAACTGTAAAATACATCCATAAATCTGTTGTATACTATCAATTTTATTTCCTCAAACAAAAAACTAAGACACTATTCTGATAATCAGTCAATCATTCAAATTACACACACACTTACCTCCTTCGCTAGTTCCATCATCTCCCATACCGTCCGATCCTCATCTGACAAATCCAGCTGCGGCTTTTTCTGGAAATGGGTGATGACTATTTAGACAATCTACATTTTTTAAGTTTACATACAGTAAATATATACGTAATAATTTGTACTTGCCTAGTTCGTGATTGTGGGAATGATCTTCGGCTCTTTGGTCCTGCCTCTCTACCATCAATCGACTGGTGTACAGATTCATAAGTGTATTGGGCTCTATTATATTTATATTTATAAACTGTGTATTGAGTCTGCCTCCACCACATCACTTAGTGCATTCCATTTGTTAAATAGTCTGATATCCAATAGCAGCTGTCCCGTATGGGCCAATAGCAGCTGCCTCGTATGGGCCAATAGCATCTGTCCCATATGGGCCAATAGCAGCTGCCTCGTATGGGCCAATAGCAGCTGCCCCATATGGGCCAATAGCAGCTGCCCCATATGGGCCAATAGCAGCTGCCCCGTATGGGCCAATAGCAGCTGCCCCGTATGGGCCAATAGCAGCTGCCCCGTATGGGCCAATAGCAGCTGCCCAGTATGGGCCAATAGCAGCTGCCCCGTATGGGCCAATAGCAGCTGCCCCGTATGGGCCAATAGCAGCTGCCCCGTATGGGCCAATAGCAGCTGCCCTGTATGGGCCAATAGCAGCTGCCCCGTATGGGCCAATAGCAGCTGCCCCGTATGGGCCAATAGCAGCTGCCTTGTATGGGCCAATAGCAGCTGCCTCGTATGGGCCAATAGCAGCTGCCTCGTATGGGACAACAGCAGCTGCCTCGTATGGGACAACAGCAGCTGCCTTGTATGGGCCAACAGCAGCTGCCTCGTATGGGCCAATAGCAGCTGCCTCGTATGGGCCAATAGCAGCTGCCCCATATGGGCCAATAGCAGCTGCCCCATATGGGCCAATAGCAGCTGCCCCGTATGGGCCAATAGCAGCTGCCCCATATGGGCCAATAGCAGCTGCCCCGTATGGGCCAATAGCAGCTGCCCTGTATGGGCCAATTGCAGCTGCCTCGTATGGGACAACAGCAGCTGCCTTGTATGGGACAACAGCAGCTGCCTCGTATGGGCCAATAGCAGCTGCCTCGTATGGGCCAATAGCAGCTGCCTCGTATGGGCCAATAGCAGCTGCCCCATATGGGCCAATAGCAGCTGCCCCATATGGGCCAATAGCAGCTGCCTCGTATGGGCCAATAGCAGCTGCCTCGTATGGGCCAATAGCAGCTGCCTCGTATGGGCCAATAGCAGGTGCCGCGTATGGGCCAATAGCAGCTGCCTCGTATGGGCCAATAGGAGCTGCCTCGTATGGGCCAATAGGAGCTGCTTCGTATGGGCCAATATTAGCATTTGGCCATGAACACATTCAGAACACCTCGAGTGAGAGCAGCCACACCCAGGTAGTCTCCCTCACTCCAACATCTTACTCGCCAACATTGCTCCTCCCACCATATTGTTATAGTTCTTATTACACATGTTCTATATACCTATCTACATGTTTTATTTACCAGAACTATGCAAGTAAGCCGGTATTGTGTCCAAACAGTACAGTGGCCACCATACACTGCATGAAAAATCACACAGACGACGCTACGATTACGTCACCTCCCTCACCAAAATAGCTCCTCTCAACATTCTCCTGTTGCTGTTCTTACACTATATACACACACTATATATACCCATGTACATATGTGTTGCCCATAACGAACCACTAAGCTAGTATGGTGAGCAAAACATGAGTGGCAGCCACACACACAATGAGGCTACCTCAATTCTCGCCCTCCCTCATCAAAATTCCTCCTTCCATTAAAAATTTATTTATAATGGCTGTGGCTCATTTGATTATAAGGTTTCCACCTGTTTGTGTCTACACTCAGTTCCTGAGAATTTTGTAGGTATTAAACATGTCTTCTAACTTTTGTGTCTTCCAGTAACTTAAATATTAATTCCAATAGCCTTTCCTCATACCTTTCACCTCAGGGACTAGTGAAAGGAGCCACATACATGTACCAGGGTTGGTCTGATGTGTGGTACAAAGTTCTGAATGACTTAATGGAAGTTATTAATAGGCAGTTCTTACATTAGCCAACTTAGGATATGCTACTGATGATATCCTTTAGATGTGGGCTTCAAGGGGATAGTTATGTTGTGATAACCCCCAGATCTTTGTATTAGATTCTTTAAGGATTTCACCTCCAAATTGGTACCCCTGTGTCCAGCCTCCTGTTCCTTACACCTATTTTCATGACATCATTCCTTCAGTTTGTCCCAACTATCTTGTAGTCTCGTGCTCTTGTCTTCCTTTGTCTTATCCCTAATAATTTTATCAGCAGCAAACATTTGAGAAGAATGAAGCTATACCATTTGGAAGTAAGTAAGTAAGTAATTATCAAAAGAAGGCACCAAACCGGGAAGGCTATGTATACCATTTGGAAGATCATTTATATACTGTATATATATCAGAAACAGGATAGGTCTGAGTACAGAACCCTGTGAGAGACTGCTGGTGACATTTTGCCATTCTGAGATCTTCCCCTCAGTTGTTTCCCGTTCCTTAGGTACTCCCTTATCCACTGAAGCACGTTGCCTGTTTTTCCAACTAATGCATTGTACTTTCATGGGGTACTGTGCCAAAGGCTTTCTGATAGTTCAAGAAAATGCAGTTTGCTCACTCGTCCCTTTCTTTCTTAATTTGTTTTATCTAGTCGTAAAATTCAATTCAACCTGTGAGGTACTGTACAATTTACCATCCCTGAACCCCACACTGGTGGTGTGTTGCAAAGTCTCTTATCTCCAAATGTGCTTCAAATTTTTCTCTCATGATCTCCACCATGGAGTACATATTAGAGGCACCAACTTTTAGTTCAGTGGCTCCTGCCTATCACCAATTTTTGTATATTGGAACATTAGCTGCCTTCTAACTTCCTTGGGGGGGGGGTCTCCCATTTCTAATTACCTATTATACACCAAAGAGTATGGTACACAGTGCTTCTGCACCCTACTTTAGTATCCATGATGAGAGAGTGTCTGGTCCAACAGCCTTTGTCACATTAATTCCAGCAGTTACCTCCTAACCTCATCTTTGATAATTTCAATATCTTCCAAAAGTGCTTGGTTTAGCACCACCTCTAAATTCAGAAACTACTACTAGCTCTATTGTGAGGATTACCAAACACTCTCTCTAGTTCTTCATACATTTTGACCTTCACTGTGTACCACCACTCCCCTTTTCTGTTTTATCAGCTGTTCTTTCACCAATTTCCTCCTAATATAGCTCTGGAGCAATTTTGTTGGATTTTGCCATTTGCCATGTCATTTTCATACTGTCTCTGCTTCTCTTTCACCGAGCCACTCATTTCTGGCCCCCCTGGTATAGCCCACGCTCTCTTGTTTCTGCTTGCAACCCCCCCCCCCCCCCTCCAAGTTTGCTTCCTATATTTGTAATCCCAGCTATGTTTTGGAACATTACCTTAAGGCCGTCTTCTGTCCATTCCTCACTTACTCTCCCCCTTGTTGGCCATTCCATTGGTATAGGAAGTTATTTCATGGGTGAGGCTGATTGTGTTGTGGCAATAATGCTCTGTGGCAGTGTGGAGGCAGTAAACAATCACTTGCAAAAACTCGTCTATACAGCACTCTGTGAGGCAGTTTGTTTTCGTACCAAATAAATGTGCATGCAAATTTGGTAAAAAAAAATTATTGGTCAAAACTTACAGCATTCTGATCCTTCTTCTTGGACTTGAACAAAGAAAGTTGAGATAGTTTTAATTCCATGGAGCTTGCAGTCTCCATCCTCATTCGTCGTACTTTCTCAAAAGCGGAGCGAAGTCTGTCAATATTATACAGTATAAAGATAGTGTCTTTACATTCCATTATTACATAAATACTATTCTAGACAAGTAATTATGCATCATTGTAAGAGCTGATTTGTATACAGAATCTTATTTTACTGGGTACCTGCTTTATCAACAAATATTTGATTATGTACTACAAAACTTCCGATTATTGAGCATAACTAACTACCTCTTAATAATGTCTACTATATCAATATCTAACTACAACACCTTCTTAAGCCTTACCTAATATCACAGCTTGTTCGCCTATCAATTTCTGTTGTCTCCCCACTTAGTTTGCGTTAGGGAACAAGTGCAATTTTGATATGGAATATTGTTATTATTAACAAAACTACAACTACAGTACCTCTATTAAAATACAGTATATCAATATCTCTCTACAACACTTAGTTAAACCTTACCTAATATCACTGCTTGTTTGCCTACTTATTTCTGATGTCTCCCCACTTGGCAAGCATTAAGGAAAGAATCACATATTAGATAAAAGCTAAAAAATTGAAGCATAAGAAAGACACATCTAAAGAAAGTTTTAAATCTTAAAATGCATACCAAAAGCTCTACACTTACCTGGTGTCTCCAACAGTGATGGTTTGGTAATGTGTTTCAGGTGTAGCAACATCTGAAGAAGTTGCCATGCCCAAACTGAATGAGTTGCGACGCTTCAAGATCCCTTTCTTGGGCGATAGTATATCTGTAGCCTTTTTAGAGTCTCTGATATCCTGAAAAGAAAGAAAGAAAAAACTTAAAATGGTGAATCTTAAAATGCTTAGCTCTAAGAATAGTCAAATGAGCATTTGACTAAGAAAATGAGGCAATTATTCAGCTGTATATATCTTTGGTGTCTTCCCACTTGGATAATTGTATCCAAGCATGGAGACCATCTTAAAGACATATTGGCTTTAGAAAAGTTCAACACCAGGAGACAAAAAAAACAATCCAGGAATAAGTCAACTCTCATACAGTTGAAGGCCACAGAGCTAACACTGCAAACCAGACATGACAGGGCTGATCTCAAAGCTTTTAAAATACTCAACAATTGCAGGATATTTACGCAGACTTTGAAAGGTCACATGTAACACAAACAAGGAGCAACAGTTTCAAGTTAAACAAGCCACAATGCAGGCCAAAAAAAGAAGCTTTTTCACCTATAGGGTTATAAACCCATGGAAGATATAGATAGATAGATTAGATTTTTTATTCAGGTAAAGGTCATACATTGAAGAGGAGTTACAAGCAATGTTGGAATTTAAACAGAGCTAGTACATACAATACCTAAAGCCACTAGTACGCATAGTGTTTCGGGCAAAGGGAACTGCCCAAAGCGTTTCGGGAACTGCCAATCTGCTTAAGCCATAAATGCCAAAATACTACCGAATTTCAAAATACAGTGCAATAAAATCAGGAAAAACTGGGGGGGGGGTAGGTGGAGGGGTCCAAGGGTTAGAAATGATTGGAGAATAAAGGAAGTGAAGGGAAGTGGGGAAGAGTAGTGAAACAATGCATGAGCATAAATAATGGGAGTCAAAACAGTAGACCTGGTGCCTAGCCTCAGGGAAAGAAATATGATTGCAAAGTTTCAAGGGAAGGACAACTTATTCAAAACTGTAATGTATGCACACCCAAGAAAAGGCAGGGTTGGCCTCCCTGCAGTTGATGCAGTAAGCATGGGAAGGAAAGCAATCAGTACGAGAATGCCCAGGGTCACTACACAAGGCTGCAGAAGCACAAGGCTCAAAAAAGACAGATGAAGCACCATCATATGAAGCATTACACTCCGAAAGCCACCCAACAAGTCCCCCTTACACTGAAAACAGGCTGGATAATGAGGGGGAACCAAAGGCAACATTTTCTACAAACTAGCAATGAGGAATCTTCTCACTTCTGATATGTTATAGATTTAATCTTATCCTGTCCTCCCATTTTAAACTATCAATAATTTTGTTTGTGCCAAAGACCATCTTACTACTACTATACTTTTCTCAGATTCCTCACCTTTCATCTCAACATTCCTCTCAATCTTTATTCCTTACTCTGTTGCATCTTCACACACTTAAGATGCCTTTAGACACACTTAAAGGTCCATGGGGACCTTTCAAGAAATCCCCATGCTACCTGGACTTTTGCATCACTAGTATTGTATGATGGGCACCATTACTCATACTCTAGCTCCTTGTCCTTTTATCCCTTCCATACATGATAATCTCCTTGCATAAGCCCTTACAAAATTAACTACAACCCACAAAAAAGTATACAACTTCATTACATCCATATAGTTGTATTATAACCACACAATACAGATTTGCATTGTATAAAAACTGGGTGATAATTATTACCCTGGGGGATCATCATACGATAACTGCATATTAACGGGCAAATTCTAATGCCTTCCCACTTATATTTTATGAAATTCATTGCTGGCTCCAAGTTTGTATAGGGAACCAAAATTGTGCATTGTGTTGCAGGAGATGCCTACCTGCACCTCGGCACAAGTATGACGACATGCTGAAACAGAGGTATAAATGCTCCAGGTACAATAGCTATTAAATGGGGGTTCCAGAGCCAAATCTAACTCACCGAGACACAGGTACGCACCACACGACATTCTTTTAAACCATTGTCTTACCTCTTGACTTATTGATCTAAATGCAGTAGAATCAAGAGAGTTAGATCTCTGTAAAGTAGCTCTTCTTTTGAGTCGAGTTACAGAATCTTTTTCAGGTGCAGAGCCTTTCTTGGACCTTGATGAGCTTCGCGATTTACCAGCTTTCTTCTTGGAGCTCTTGTCTTTAGTGTCGCTACTCTCTTTCCCATCTTCACCAGTTTTGATACTGCCATTCTCAACCTTTTAAAAAAATCCCATTACCATGCAAAAATTACAAGAAAAATACTAATTTTAAGCAAGACTAAATTATGAAATGCCTCTTGTATTATGTTAAAAAAAATGAGTTATCTTTTAACCCATCTTCAGCATAAAATTTTAAATATTATATATTTAAATCTCAATGAATTTCATTTATTCATTCATTTCACAGTATTACACACAAGACAGTTCTATCAATGATCAAAGATCAAACTCACCTTCCTCACAGAGAACCTGGAAGGCTTGCGAGCCAAAGGAGACTTGGAGGTGGTAAATTCTTTAAGACTGTTCGCTGCAGGGGAACCAGGAGGTGTCACCCCGTCAGAGTCGCGCCTGTAACCAGTCAAATTATTTTAGAACAATAATTGTAACAGTATAAAATATTACTGTATTAAGAATTTCTAGCTAACACCACACCTATTATAAAACACTACACATATTAAAATGCTATGTACAGTTTTAAATGTATCGGCAATGCAGAAAGAAATCAACACTACACAGTTTGAGATGACATGTATTGCTTTATACCCAACAAGCAACAGAATTGAATATTATACATTCATTTTACAAGAATAACTAAATTTAACATTTAAAATAATGCTGTGGAGGAATAGTTTAAAAAAAATATTAAAGACAGCCAAACAATGTACTTCACACAAATACAAAATGCACCTTTTGAAACAAGCATTTAAGAACAAGAACCATATTAGCTGAAAGACAATGGCATCAGCTAGTGACAGCCATTCCAAAAGGTTAGACAAGAAATATAAGGTCAAAAGTAATATTTTAATTATATTATATACTATAAACATCCCAAACAAATCTTTATGAAGATGTAACGAAGGCAGTCAAAATTATACGAAACAATTAGGAGAAAAACATGCATTAATGCAGAAAAGGCCATCCTCACCTTTTAAGAAGATCATCTCCCAGACACCCAAAATCCACCACCAGGGCTGTATGAATCTTCTACCTAATACACACACATATATAGCACCTTTATACTATACACTTGGACTTATATTAATAAAAAATGACCATTTCTGAGCTAGCCCCTCAATAGCTCCCTTGTGCACTAGGTTCTGGCATCACTCCAAAAATACTTCCACTACCCTGGACGTTTCCAAACTTGCCAAAAATCAGGATCAGAATCTGATTTTATTGGAGGCAAAGGCTTCACATTACCCACTTCCCATAAATACTTTCCCATTTGGGTTTGGTTGTTCTCTTTTCAGGATTTTTTTGAGCAGCCTCATTGTAATATATTTAAAAAATACAGTACTGGTTAATTTATTAAAATACTTCTGTCCATTATATATAAGTACTGTATATAATAGAATACACAGTATTATCAACACTAAACAGAACAATCAAATGAGTCAATGAGTAATGGAGCCCCAGATGGTAACTGGGTGGTGGGTGTGAATAGGTAAGAGATGGCAAACATTTAACTCCTGGTGCACTACATAAACAGCATTTAAGCATGTGATGATGGTGAAGATCAGACTGCCCTGATGGTAAACCTCAAATTATCATGGAAATGATCCTCCTCCATTCAAGAAATGGGTAAACCCTGAGAAAAGCATGCAGCAAAAATCAAATTGACGACGACAAATCTCACACCTACAAATAAAAAGTTACCAAGTTTATCAACTTGACAATCTTATTTGTGGTCTAAGATTAGTCATCATTAATCATTCAGCAGTAATTACTTAGAGCGTGTGGATGCAGGTGATCCGGGTGGGGAGGTGGACGAATCGTCGCTGTCACTGCCCAGGCAAAAAATAAATGAGAATGAAAAAATGAAAATAATTTGTAAATTAATAAATCATATATGGAATCTCTAATAGTCTTCTCGAGTGTGCACGCACAGGCCTGTATGCAAGTACTGTACTGTACTGTAATTTCCCGAGTGCAGTTACAAGACGAGAGCTAAGCTTGTGATGTCCCATATTCCTCATCGTCTCGTCAGAGTTTTTGAAGCTTCCAATGGTGGCACATCTCTCTCTCTCTCTCTAGTTTCCTCCATCTGTCTACTATCTCATATTTTAGCTAAAGTCTCAATGTCATGATATTTTGTACGAATTTCTCAATTTGTATGTTTTGAAGGCGGTTCCAAAATTTACCAGTTATAAGCACCTCTGACTGCCCTTAATATGGTCCGGTGGTGGCCGATTACTTTCCAGGATCACCCCAAGTCCCTTTCTTCAGCTGGGTTCTGTAGTCTTTCCAAAATTTGTAACCTGAATGTGGCCTGTTCTTGCTTGCCTCACACTCACTCATGTAGCATTTATTCACATTAAATTCTATTTACCATGCATGGCTCCCAGCATTCATTTTGCCCAGATTATTTTCAAAGACATTAATGTCATTTCGGTTTTCTCTTTCATCCTAGTAGCTTGACATCACTTGAAAAGTAATATTCATGTAACTTAGTATGCCTCGAGGTATACAAAGTTACCTGAAGTTATGCCTTCATTTATATGCTAGAGATGAGCTTTATGGGATTCTGCTATTGATATTATTCTAGCACGATTCATTCCCTTTAAACACTGTTCTTAACCTTCTACCTGTAAGGATGTTTTCCATGCTTATGAGTAGCCTTCCCATAACTCCTATGTACTCCACCTTCTAGAATTGAGCAATGAACTTGTGTATTGAAATCAGCCTTCCTTTTTTATATTTGCTTTTGCAATAAATTTACCTACAAAGTCCGAGCCAGCCTGGAATATGTTGCTCTCATCCAGATGCAAAAGACATTGGTGATATGTTGGTATTTATCTATCTTTTCTACAATAATATTTTCCTTTTGGATTTTAACTATTCCATAGTCATTTTTGTCTAATGGGACACCACTTGCTACTATTCTTACCAAAACAAATCGTGTTTAGCAAATTACTTCTGAAGAGCTCAGGAACTGCTCGCTTGTTTATTCTCTGTGTGTGTAGCCAAGAGATAAAATACAAAAAAATTATAAATAAGCGTCTGTGTGTAAATTATCTACTACTACCAGCAGAAAATACATTCAGTGAAGTTTACCCTATTATGCTATTCATGTCACAGTTTGTTTGCAAAATAATAAAACCAAGTACTGTACAACTCTCAAAATGTCCCAATCTCAGCAGATGGTAACAAATAATACTACAGTGCAGTACACTATTTGTCGCATTGTTTAAACTTACTCAAAAAAAAAGGCAATACAAGAAAAAAGAAAAAATGATAAATTTACTTAAAAAAATAAATTATGGGATTACATACTGTGTGACTTTAGAAAATAATAATTATGATTGTGAGGAACAAGTTCTGCACTGTAAAAATGATAAAACGATAAGAAGTGCATAAAATTTGATGAAATTTTTCATTATAAAAATAGATAAGTTATAGGAGACATTACATAATAATATTTATATAAAAAAGGGCAAACTCTGATAATTAAAGTTGGTAAAAGCATGATTAATTAAAATAGAGATTCTAATTAGCTCATACAAATAATTAAAAAAAAAAATTTATATTGATGCAAAGGTAATATTTGTTTTTCCTCTTATTTATATCGGTGACAAGATTATGTACGAGCCATCTTGCTGTCTAGTATTATACTAAATATATGTTTGCTGAATATTTATAATTAGTACAGTGCTTCCTTGATATTCAGACCAATTTCCTGAACCTATGGACTCTCCAACCTAATCATGTACATCATGTCTGATATGCATTCGGTAACCTAAGCACATTTAGGCATAATGTTGCAGCCATCCAAACGAACCTCATTTTCGTCATCAGCAAAAAAAAAAATTACCAAAATAATTACAAAATTATTAACGAATGTAAATAGATTACTATTCATAGGCCATGCAAAAACTAGTTTTTTCTTGTTGCTGCCCAAAGACGTTTCCTATGTGACAATAAGTTTAATTAAAGGCGTTTATTGCTAGAATTAATATATTTTTAGCCAAAACTAGTCATGTTTTGTAGAACAGCAAAAATCTGAACAAGTTTTTTTTGGGGGCTACTGTTCAAAAACTATGAAAAGCTTCAAGTTTATGATTACTAGCAAGAAAATTCAGTATCGTGTTCTAGGAAATGGTCGAAGGCTACCAAATAAATATGGATGCTGCTGTTTTCAAAGCAGTGCACATCACGCATGAAGGTACACTCTTTGAAGCTTAGGGCTGCAGTACTTTGAGAAAAAGTGAACGCTATACAATTTCATGAAGTGCTTATATATATTAATTAGTTTATCAAAATAAATTTTTGCATTTCATGGGTAATATACCCTGTAGCTCCAAATAAGTATATTATTTGAGCTAATAAAAAATATAATTATTAGCTAAACATACTATGAAGTGACAGCTACTCCGTGGCCTAGATAAAATAAAGCTCATTTACCAAACCGGGTCCAGTCACAAGTGATTAACAAAAACAAGCAGGCACTGTACTATTTTACTAACTTTAGACTAAAAAGAGCTTCAAGCCCAATTAACTTACTTAAAATGTTAGATATACTTTGAGTATTTAAAAACACGATGACACGATTTTACGTGGGGATGCATTCACCACAACCTCCAATCAATTTAAAACAGTATAATGATAAGGGTCTTATGGGATAGGAAGTATCTCTTATTCAAGAACTGTATTATGTACAACAAAATGTACTGTACCGAATTCATTACAGGGAAAGAAGGGGGGGGGGGGGGAGGAGTAACAAAAGCAAACTTTTTTTTTTTTTTTTTCCCCCATTTTAAGTAAAATGCAGTTTTGCTCAGCATTTATTAGAGGCATCAAGCTACACTTTTGAAAAGAGTTCAGGGTATGGGGTCACAGTAAAGACTGATGAGGGTAATCAAATTGTTCAGAATTGTTGAATTTTTCTGATACAGTGAGTAGTTTTGATGCAAGTGTGAAATTTTAAATTTTGATCTGCAGATGCAGTCAAAGATTATGGGAAAGAAAGTGGCATGAATGGTAACTTCTTTAACACCACAGCCGACATTTAAGGTTTTATGTAGACGGGCACAACACAAGAAGAGTTGGGGAGGGGGGGGGACTTGGGAAAATAATCAAATGATAATTAAAATAAAATTTAATAATTGCTTTTCATTTTCAATTTGATTAATTTCAAATTCTTGGTAGATTACTGGTGAGACATGTAAAGAAACCCACAGAATTATCCACAGTAAAACCCCCATCCCCTCTGCTCCCTACAAAAAATAAAATAAAAAATAATATCTGACAGACGGCAAGACTGAAAATATATAGATGGAAGGCACAGTGAAGAAGTGATGGTGAAAGCACTAAAGTTGCAGCCTAATTCAAGTGATATATTGACTGTAAAGTTCTATAGTTTCTACTGAACTACACAACACTGATACAAGTGATTGACTTTATATGAACTTTGTGCAAAACAATTACAATAAATGAGAAAATACATTAAGCTCAAAAATGAATATGTTTAGTGCAGGTTACCTTACAGTGAAAACTAGATAGGTAAACAAAAAGTGATAATGTTCCAATTTTATATGAATCATTATTAAATCATACACAATTTAATGTTTATGTTAATTACAACACTGTAGTTTCCACCTTTTTTTTGTAAAGTATCTTTTGGCAAAGCGGACATGTCTTAGCAGGAAATGCATCTTGCCAATACTCTACACACTTCCTGCCAAGTATATTGTTATTCCTATTACCAGATATCCAGCAGCTGAAAAACTCGAGTCTAAACAAAGTACAGTACAGTAAATTAAAATGCACTTGTTAGCAACTTCCTACACAGAGCCTATACATAATTCATAGTTAATGAATAACAATTATTTCTACTCTTGAATTATAACATCACTAACCTTGACGGAGTTCCATGTCGACTTCTTGACCTGGATCGAGACCTGGAAGAGGGAGGGGTAGCTTTTTGAATAATACCAAATATATCTACCATTTAATATTCACAGAAATCCAGTATGATCTTAAATAATTAATAGCATTTGCAGATCATTTTACCAGAGTTATTCTGTTTCCAATTGGTTTATTTGACATGCTATTTTAACTCAAATTTAGCATCTTTAAAGTACATCATATTGCATTAAAAAATAGAAAATTCCTAACTCTAATATATAGAATTATTAAAAATATAATCAAACCTGGAAGTGGATCTGGATCGAGAAAGTGAGCGACTCAGTGACCTAGAGAACCTATGGATGATGCTCTGGGCAGTTCCTGGCTCGTCATCACCATCACCATCGTTAACCTCGTCTTCATAGCGGATGCGACTTTCCTTGGGACCTCCTGCAGCATCCTCCTCTTCCCATTTGAGTCTGACAATAAGAAAGCACTCAAATGTAAAAATGTCCTCAAGTCCTCAAGATCTGCATGTCCTCCAGTTACTTGGAAAGCAACCTCCACATGGCTTGAAGGTGGGGTTGAATTTTTTTGTATCTATGACTCTATAAACAGCATATTAAAATGTTTACTACCTTCAATATTTGTACCTACCTTTTTGCATTACAGTTTTACGATTTGATAACATTGTTATATGGAAGGGGATTAATTAGATATTTCCAGCCTCCTTACTTAAGTTGCACGTGCAACATATAAAACAATTTTCTTACTCTTTTTCTGACATTACTAATGTGTTTATTCATGTATTTTACACAAGCTATTATTAAATTTTAAAGGAATCTGTGCCTAATCTTGCCAAAAAGAATTCCACAATAAATTTATGTAATTAATTTTTCAATGGTGTATAAGCAATATATATATAATGAAGCAAATACGATAAACATTGAACAGCATACCTTCACCATGTAAAGTTACCGCAGGGTGAAAAATTACGATGTGATGAATTAATTACAAATTTTAACAGAAAGCATTAAAACAAGTACAATGGGGCCTCAACTTACGATGGTAATCCGTTCCCAGAGACGGATCATCAGTCGAAATATCGTAAGTCGAAGCAATTTTTCCCATAAGAAATAAAGGGAATTGAATTAATCCGTTCCCAACCCTCCAAAATATTAACTTACAAATACATTTTATACTGAATACAATTTTGTTCTCTAACTACAATACAGTACAAATGTTTATCTTACCTTTATGGAGGACTCTTGATGGCATATGGAAGATGGTGAGGAGGGGGGGGGGGGAGAGGAGAGGTGTTACTGTTTGGAAGGGAAGTCCCCTTCCATAACAACATCAGGCAGTGATGACTTTTCTGGGATACACTCTGGCATGTTTTGCCTGCACACCACTAGGACCTGCTTGTGGCTCACTGCTTGCTTGTCTTACTAAGAATCTGTCTAAAAACACTTGTTTTTCCCTACATTTTAACACTTGTCTGTAATAAGACATCACATTGTCATTTAAAAGGTCAATGCAACGACCTGCTACAGCTTTATCTGGGCGAGTTTTTTTTAACAAAACTTTGCAGTTCTTCCCATACTTCACACATTTTCTTAATGAGGAAGGGATATCCTCTACTGCCTCAACTCAACTATTATCTTAGGTTGAACCTTACCACTGACTTTCTGGGACCCATGGTATGATATATAATAATCAGTTTTATGTTCAAAAAGCAAAAAATCACCACAAAAACGGAATTTCTTATAGGCGTGATTGTCACTAAGCGGGCAGCTCTAGTAAACTGAGGTAGGTTGGCCTGCGTGACCGGGAACCACGCGCTCGGTCGACCCAAACGTGTACCAACAAATATCGTTAGTCGACGACACTATCGTAAGTCGAGTCACATTTTTCGATGAAATTTACATCTTAACTAAATTATCGTAAGTCAGGGCAATCTTAAGTCGAGGTGCCACTGTACTACATATGAAAATACTTTAGTATTTTCATATGTAGTAGTTTTAATTATATGTTGTAGTACCTTACCACATGTACATTATACATGTGGTGAAGTACTACATGCATACAGTATTGGACTTCTGGTTTTACAAGAGATTTAACATTAACCACTTTAAAAAGCACAAAAAAAAAAAAAAAAAGATCATGCAGTGATATCTATCTAGTCATGTTGCATAGAAAATATGATAAATTAGCTTATAATTTTAGATTATAATTCTAGATTTTCATATTTAAAGCAATTTATAATAATGTTTGAAATAATTATGTTCTTGGTAAGGATGACTGGCATTGGCTTAAACATGCTGTACTAAAAAATGGTACAAGTATCCAATCCATGTAGAAGTAGACATTAAATATTCGAGAATACACATGAATTAAAGACTATTGCAGACCACATATGAATTACACAATTTCTGTAAAAAACAAAGAATTCTTACTTCAAAGCCTCCAAGTGTCTGCGTGTAGCTTCCTTTCGTCGCTTTTCAGAGGAAATTTGTTCTACTAGAATGCGTACCAATTCAATCCTCTGAATAGAACCCAGAAGAATCATCGAATCTGTCAAAATAATGATAAAAGTGGATTTTTAGAGAAACTGTAGAAAGTATCAGTACATTACCAAGGTGAAATGCCGCAAAGTAGGAATGCTACTAAATAAAATGGTAGAATGGAAGCACGTATTGGTGGTGGTAGAACTTGCCTATCAGTAATTATGGGGCTATTAATAAACTTCCACCTCTGTGTTCCATTTGTTTACCACCCTCACTAAATTCGAATAAATAAATAAATAAATAAATAAATTAAATTATTTCTTTACGTTCCAAGATCTTGTCTGCATCTCCAGTTTCAACCGTGTCTCTTTGTCCTGCTTCTCTAATCTGGTAAAGCCTAATTCAAATATATATCTAACTTGTACATTGTAATCGTACTAGCTGTTTTTCTTATTTAATATCTATAAGCTATTATTATTATATTTGCCTTTTTTCTTGGGATTGATGCCTTCCTACCCCCCCATGAAAGTGAAGAAATGGTGTAATAATCAAGGCAATTTTACAGCTTACAAAAGATTACCCACATTCTTTAAATACTAGCCTTGAGCTGCCTTTCCAAATGTCCAGCTGTTGCATTCCATCAATTAAGATTATGAAATATAACAATGACAAAATTGGTACATAACAATACATGTAAGGTTATTTTTCTCTGTGCTACAAAGAATAATTGTTATCTTTGATGTACAAAATTTAAAATACTACAAGATGTAACCAAACCAATAATAAAAAAGAAAAAATAATAAAAATATAGAAACTTAATTATTGTATTAGACTTTGGCCACCGTAGTTTTAACTTGAATCCTCATTAGTTCCGACTGATGAGGATTCTTGAGGAAACACTGTGGTGGTCAAAGTCTACTACAGGGGAGTCGGTCACTATCAACCTATACACGTACATAACTACACTAGCAACTCACCATGCTTGTCAACCAATGGTAGATACTTGAGCTTGCGATTTTCTTTAAGAATTCTCTTGAGTTCTGTGTACGTGATGCCATACCAGATGTACTTCACATCTCGCACCATGATGTCCTCCACATAGATGTTATACACATCCGCTGTGGGGTGACAGTGAAAAGGTTGCAAATTACTACACATACTTCAAGATGTATACATAATGGGGAAATCTTCAAGATGTGCATTACTTCAGCTCAGTCACAATAGTTGTGTCACTGACTATTACATCAATGCTTTTATAACAATTCCAGCAGGCAGTTCTTTTACAAAGCATTACACAATAACTTACATGATGTTGTGGCAACTATATCTGGAAGATATGGCAATTTCTTAATGCGAATCATACTGTCATAGATGGAAGGTTGAAGTAGTGATGATATGCAATTTGAAATCAAAACTCCAATCTGGAAAAAGTTAACTAGATCAATATACTGGTAAAAATCCCCCCCCCCAAAATAGCATAATCTCAAATAAATGGATTAATATATCAGGTTTAAATATTTGTCAATACAATGATCATTCCCCATCAGCAACCTGAAATAGGTATTTAAATTGTCCAAACTTGCAATGCTAGAACACTGCCTTATTTATTTAATTTATTTATTTATATTTTTATATACAAGAAGGTGCATTGGGGGTTAAGAGAAAATAGGAATGATGTTGATTTTACAATCTTGTAAAGCCACTAGCACGCATAGCGTTTTGGGCAAATCCTTACACTAACCGATAATTCTAAGTAGATAATTTGCAGTAGAATTGACAAATGTTTATAGGTACTTTACAGCTTTACTTTACTGGTACAGGTAACATTAAGTCAATAAATTACAGTAAATCATAATTTATCAAATATATATGTACAGTATCAAATTTTATCTTAACTAGACATTGGACCTTTACCCAAATTTCATTTTTCTAATTTCATGATTGCCCAAATATTTATGACTAAATGGGTCAAGACAGTTAAATAAAATTAAATATTTTTGGCTATTATGCTAAAAACAGTTTAAAATAAAAATTATTTAACTTTGTAGTTTATAAGAACACACCAACTAATATCACCACGTGATGATCGGAAAGAACTGAGAAACATTGTGTATTATGGCATCAGCTCTACATCACATGACAAGCTACCAATACAACAGGATCAATGAATGATCACAAGTGTATGGTCCAAGTGGGTGAGAGTGATTATCACTTACCATAATGGGTATCACGTAGGTGATCTGTCCAGTGAGTTCGAAGACAATCACAGAAATAGAAATGGTGTGAGTGATCGCTGCACAAAAGGATGCTGCGCCCACCATAGCATACGCACCTGCAGTACATTTTTGTTAACTGTAGTCAACTGTGATATTTAACTTTTCATTAAAGTTATTACTGATTTATTGTCAGACAATTATACACATACTGTTCATAACGGAGCATATATGGAATGCTATGTTGGCTACAAAGTTTTAATGGATACAGTTCTGCTAACAAGCTAATTGTAAAGAGCATTAATTTATATCATGTACTAACCTGGCACAATGGGAAAACCTGGTTTAATGCCCAATGGGTAGAGCGAAGCCATGAGTTCTCCAATTTGACGACCAAATGCTGCTCCAACTTTAAATAGTGGAATCAGCATACCAGAAGGCACAGGTAAGGTTGAAGCAACAGCTATTTGAAATACCTGAAGAAAATATATTATTATTAATGTGGTTCAACAGCAGGACTTCCCAAAGAAAAACTAGTACTTTCAAGAAATATATTTTTCATTTCATACACCCAAGAAAAAATGGCAGTTTGGTATAGTATCCTGCTTTGTTTAATATTTGCAAACTTATTGTACAAGTGATTATTGAACATTTATAGTCACAAATCAAACCATAATTGGTTCAAAGCAAGTAGCTCCAAAATATGACTATTTTGAGTATAAATTAAAAACTTTTCTGAGCAAGGCACTTGGCTGTTTTATTCAGCTTAAACCAAACAAAACATGTTACAGAAAATATGCATGGTAAAGAGTTGCCATATGAAAGAATAAACATTCTGGTCAAATGCACATGAAAATACCATCTCAATTTTGTCACAAAGAAAGATGTCGCTGTCTACAAGATACTTCACAGTACAAAACGCATATTACCAAGAAATAAATAACTAAGAAATATCAAAGTTTAAAACACACAGTACAATACTATGGAATTTGTAAAGAAAACTCACAGATACAATCTGGAAGACAAAAAGGCTGAGATGGAAGCTCCCTTCAACATTAGGCACCCAATACTTGAGGATGCTCTCCTGCTCAGATGACATGATTCCTTCAGGATTTGTAACTGTCCAAGTTACATTGCTGAAAAGGTGCAGGATCTGGACAAGAAGATAGAGTTTAGTATATGTAACAAATAATTTATATAGTCACACAAATGATATATAATATGGTAACAAAAAGACGAGTGTAAACTAACAATTTTGCATCTTGCCAGAAAATAACAGGGAAATTAAAGTCAAAGTTCAATCATAAAATAATACAACCAAGACTTGAGCATACATTATTGCTCCCCACTTTCACAGGAATTGGAGGAATCAGTCCAGAGAAGAACAAATTAATAACATACAATATAATGAAAGATGATTATAAACATTTATGTACAGTATCATCAATTCATCATATTCACAAAAAAAAACTCTGAAAAAGAAGCAGTTTGGCCCTGCAACAGTTATCCACAAGAGCACCACCACTTAAGTCCGGGTGTAATGCTCCTAAAAATTTCCAATACTGTACAAATATTTTCTCCCTTCTTACAAGCTACTTCCACACAGCTATGCATGTTACTGGCTTTGCATAGCTTGCATTATTTGCAAGAATGTAACACTCAAACCCCAATGTATATACTGGGAACTTTCTAAACCCAATGTACCTTCTTGTATATACAGTAAATACATAAATAATTCTTTCAGAGGGTGGCCCAGTTCTACTGACACTGGACATATCCTCACCATGTGATCCCTTCCTCAGTGCTGGTGCAGTGCTACACCTCTACTCAAGCCACTTCATTCATTTCTATTTAGACATCCGATTATTTGAGGAGAAAAGATGTCTGCCAGCAAAAGTAATCTGAATAGACCAGGATGGAGGAAGAACACTTGCCTTAACCTCAAAAGTAGTTCATTGCGCGAAGCGAGAATTCTGATGAAATGATAAAACATATATTCAATTGCTCAAACCTTGAAGAGTTGATTTAGGCAGTCAATATGAATAAATCTGGTTTACAAAAGGGACAAATTTGTATTTTTACTTATAATTTTACAATAGGAAAATACCCTTTATATTACAGTATGTTTTATCTGTCAAAACAAATTTACATAGAATAATTGTTCCATTCCCCTGCCCTCATATCCTGGCTTATTGTCCTCACATTCTGTGATGGACCTCAGTATCATCTATGATCCAGGTTCAGAGTTAAATAGTTGACCCTCCCATTAATATTAGTTTCCCAGTTTCTAGTCTGCTGTTCTGGGAGGCGATGTGGCACCAGTGACTTTTTTTTTTTTTTTTTTTTTTTTTTTTTTCTTTTTTTTTGGTGACTGGTGACAGACGGCAGTGAAGTACTTTGGTCGACCTTGAGACGTACTAGCCAGAGGGCTAGTGGAGCGCTGCTGACCTCACTGTTGGAGTGTGCTAGTCAGAGGGCTAGTGGAGTGCTGGGTGACCAATATTTGTGTGCTAACCAGGTTAGTAGTGCGCTGGAAGACTTCAGCGAGCATACTAGCGAGTGGGCTAGGGGGCGCTTGAAGACGTCACCATAATTGCAGCTAGTGTAGAGCTAGCGTTGCACTGAAGAACTCGTCAGAGGAGTACATAGTGTCTGTCGTCTTCGAAGCTAGCTAGCGTGAGGGCAAATGATGCGCTGGCTGAACTCGTCAGAGGGTTGTACAGGTATATAGTACAGTAGTAGCGTTTGTAGATAAGCAATATTTTTAAAGTGCAATTTTATTTCTTACCTTACACATTACACTACATTTTCACCAAGGCTAGGGATCTCTGACCTTGTGAAGGATCATAGAGTTTAAAAGAACCCGGTTACAGAAGGGTTCGTAACACATTCCTTCCAAGTGAGACAGTCTTACTGGCTCGGTGCTTTCTCACGATTACCTTACTTATATTTTGCTAATTTTTCTTTAAAAATGTGTGCAACTGAATTTTTTTTCCATAACGGAGAGTAAATGCAATTATACTTTAATCTTATTTTGAAACGGAAGAACTTTCCATGTGGTGCTTACCTGTTTACTTGAGGGAATAGTGGCTGCCATGAACTGACCCAGGCACATGGGGAAAGTCATGATGGATATTGCAATAGAAACAAATGTTGGATACAGCAGACGTCTGTTAAAAAAAAAAATACATTAGTAAGCAAAACAAGCATAGGTTCACACAGCATTCATGTGCGCACGCAATAAACCTGCAATCACATGTGCATCCATAGAAATCAACAAACTTCAAATGGATAATGTGCTCAGATGGCAAATTTAGTTTAATGTTCTACAATTCCATGAAAGACTTACGAAGACAGAAAAGTGAAGAATGGGTAGATCTCGTACTCCTACATTGTCAAAATGGCTTTGACAGTCCTCCTCTTTTGAAGACATACAAAATAGGGAGAAAAAGGGGGGGGGGGGGAATATACTAAGACTAAATGTCAGAGTACCGGTATGTTAAAATAACAAAGCATTTAACATGTTAGAAGTTGTAGTGAAGATAAACATTATGTGAGGGTGCATAAGGATTAATTAAAGGACCCGTTATGAACTCGATTTATTTGTAAATATCCTAAACAATTATTTAGGAAACTAAATGTTAGCATTAAAGTTTTATTTATTTATAAACACACACACACACACACACACACACACACACACACACACACACACACACACACACACACACGAGTTCTTACATTCTTGTAGAGCCACTAACATGCATAGCATTTCGGGCATGTCCTTAATCTTAATTTTCCCTGGAATATGACGCGCCAAATTGTTTAACAACCAGGTACCCATTCACTGCTGGGTGAACAGAGGCATACAGATGAGGATTGGATCCCAGTCAATTGTCCCCAGCAAGGATATGAACCCAGGCCAAATCACTTGCATAACACGGGGCAAGTGTGAGTGACAAGAAGATAGAAGATAGAAGTCCCACTGCGCCGTGGGACTGCTTATGCTACACATACACCCGAACAGTACAGTACTAGGGTACAAGGCCCCAGCATGAAGCTCATTTCATTTCTCAACAAAGAAAATTGAATGTGATTTGTCAAAAAGTTGGTACCAGGACAAGAAAGCTGGAACATGTTGAGAGGCTAATGGAGCTGAACCTTATCACAAGAATAAGAAAAACCAGGAACCATGATCACAAAATGCAAAACATTGAGTAAACAAGGGCACTGCTAAATTTATGTTGAGAAAATATGAAAAGGACATGTGCAACACACAGCCTCTTCATAGTTTCATATTAGGACTTAAAATGCATGCAAATCAGAGGGGACATGAAGAATTTTTAGCGTTCAAAAATCGACACACAGTAAGGCACTTTTGCACAAGACTTACATGTACACTGCTACCACGTACAGTATTAGCTGCAGCATTTACTGAATCAATGTCTTAAAAGCTAACAAAGAACTTACTTTTTCTGCAAGAAATTCTTGAGTGTCTTATTGTGGCGCATGAACATCACATATCTTCGGTGGAGGTAAACAAAGAGTGATCCCGCAAAGCCACAGAGAATGCTGGAAAGAAAGAAAATTACAGTCATATTAATAGCTGTATTGATCAAACAAAGTAACAGGAAAATATACCATATACAAGGTATCTCAACTATTTTATCCAAGGCACAGTGAAAAATTCTGCTTCAGAGTGTACAGGTGTATACTATATATTTCTACACTATGCATAAAAGTCCAATATTTTGAGAACACTTAATTAACATAATCCAAGAATGAATACAGGCTAATAAAAACAGTGAAGTACAGGCCTAGTCCATTAAACGTCCAGTACAGAAGTCATTTGCTAATGCTAGTCAATGCATCATAAGCCAATTCAGAGAATAAGCAAATATGTTTTAACTAAAAAAAATTGCAATTCTATGTAACTCATTTATACTTTGTTGTTTATGCAGTTATAAAGCCAAACAATTTAAGCCCGTTGGAATTACTATTCTCACTTGCATCCAAAATAATTTGGCTGCGGGTGAATTTGACCAACAAAACAGTGTCGAAAATAAATTGTCCCATAAAGTCTTGACTTGCTACAAAGTATTATTGCAGACATGCATCTTATGAAAATCAAGATGCTGAGTTATGTTTATTTTTAATTATACCGAGTTGTACAAGAATTACCAAGTTTTCTAATCACAATGATAACAAAGTCAAATGTAAATGAAATGCATATTAAAGCTAATCTTTAATGCTTAATAACTGGAAATAATTGACTTTACACACAGTAAATAAAAAGTTTAACATACTCTTCATATCAAACAGCTGATAAAAAGCAGCTTTGTAATTGTTATGCCTCAAGATATACATACCCAATACAGAGGAAGGGCAGGAGCTCAATGACATCATACGGGTACGCGTAGTTAAGTTCCACTTTGTACAGCGGGAAGATGGTCTCTGTCAAGTGCACAGCCAACATACAAGACTACAGATTATCAAAACTAAAAAAAAAACCTCATAACTATAGGCTTCCTTTTGGTACAGTTCAACAACATTTACAATAAAAAAAATTACAAGGAAAAGTATCTAATATTTTCACTCCGAGCTGCCAACTTATTTAAATGCTTATGAACTTTACCTTGGGCTTACCTATAAATACATGTACGTTCACACACACACACATACAATACTATGATCAAGAATTGTTAATGCCAATTTAAAAGTGTATTCAGGATATATTATAGTGGCACTAACCAGACTTGAAATTAAACTAAAAAAAAAAAACTAAATTGTGAACCTTCATTAACTAAAGTCAACATTAACTAACCACGGGGGACAGGGAGGGATTGAAATTCAGGCTCTACGTTAGCACACCAATTCTAAATTTATTTTTATATTATATGGGGACAAGGAACACACACAAGCATGCAGAATTAGTTTGGTCTAAACATATCTCTAAACAAGTACCAATTTTAAATACAAAAAAAACAAAAAAATACATCAAATAAATTCAAGAACAAGGCAAGCTCACAATCTACATAGTAGTCAAACCTGATAATTCATTGAATTCTCGTGTGTTATAAAATATTACTATTTTAATCTGTCAAAACCATTCAGTGAGATTCATTTCTCAACATTTAAGTGAAAAATGAACATTGTAAATTGTTTCTTCCATGCATAAGTTCTTTGACTTATCTTCTAAAACACAATTACAACAGACATTATGGACAAAATCTGCCAGTACTTACGAGCACCCATGAACCACACGGACATCAGACGATAAAACATGGCTCCTACTACCGCAGCGAAGAAACCACGCCAGTAATTACGTACAGCAAAGTATACAGTTGTTACTTCTATGCTGAAGAGAACACCTGGGGAGAGAAGTTTCCAGAGTACAATAATTTACTGTGATATCTATTGTGCAGAAAAGTTTGACACTATTATAGAAAATTCTGCTTATATCAAAACAGAATCATGCACTTTAACAAATTGTTAAAATTACATTTATGCTTGTTATATACAATGCAATATACCTACTCTGTACGATTCGTTAACGAATGGAACACTTGCAACACGTCATGGAAGCTACCTTGAATGATAAGGCCAAGAACACAAATGACCAAATACAGTATTAGAAAATTGGGACATATAAAATAACCAGGTACTAAAGCTGGGAAGCAGGGGCCTGGAGAGCTAGAACTTGATCCTCATAGATACAGTTTGACAAGTAAAGTGGAGTTTGTTCAAAGATACAAGGCAAGTAACAGATGAGCTAGGAGAACAGACTAAGAATTAGATACTGTATATAGTAATAACATTAGTAGAGATACGGACAAGAGATCACATGATCACAATAAACAAGATACCGAGTAGATTAAGACTTTTTCCAGGCAAGGTACAACAGAATGACTAGGCATGGAGTGGACTTGGAAAAGAAAGAAAATACTCGTATGCAGTAAGTGATAAACATGTAAAACTGTAGCCAGGAATTGGTGGATGAAATCTCCATTAACAGCTTCAAGAGTATGGTTGAATACACTGGACCACAGATAAATTCATTAGGTATAATACCTAGGAAGCAAGATTCCCTGCAGACAATTAAGCAGGCACAGGCAAGCAAGCACACACAAATGCTCATATCAAACTTCAGGCAAATTCAGGAAATATATATTTTACAATAATTAGTTCAGTAAGATCACATCCATTATTATTATTATTTGGTAGCCTAACCCAGCGGTTGCCAACCGGTGGTTCGCAAGGCAATTTTATTTGTGTACTGAATGTAACATTTTCTTTAACGGTTATATTTTATGGCATCAAATAGTTTGACTTTAATAACTATCATTTCTTGTTTAGTGGACCGCGGGATTTAAAATGATGAATATGGTGATCCGTGTGCTCTGAAAAGTTGCCGACCGCTGGCCTAACCTGTCCTCCAAACATTTACATGCCAATTTCAATTTCTTTTATTGAGCAGCTCTTCTGTTATTTATAAACTTCATGTTAATAAAGCTTGTAAACTTTTCAAATCAGTTTGAAGTACCTTTAACTATCAAGTATTACCAAAATGTACTTTTAAGACCACAATCTCTAGTGACCTCAATGAGAAGAGGAAGCGAGTAGCTTTTCAAAAAGTCCTACCATTATTACCGAGGACTTTTTACAAGTTACATTTTAAGTTGGAACAGTCTTTTGAATTTAGTTTCATTGGAAAGGCAATTCCTTGGGTATATTTCCCTACGGGTAAAAAAACATTGTTAAAATCCCCAATTATAAATGACCAGCCTTTAGCTGCTGCCTTTATCACAATATGCAGGACTTTACTTCCTCTGCTGTTGCTGTGTTTCCCTTGTAGCATACTCCTATCAGTGTGCTACCATTCTAAGCATTCCATGCTGTTCAACTCCTCATTTCTAGTTGCAGGCAAGTTGTGCTTCATACATAGTATCACACCACCTGCTGGTATTCTATCCTTTCTAAAAGATGAGTGGGATCCGGGAAGATGCCATTCCCTACGATTATATTTCCTCATCCCCACGTTTTGTTGATCCCATTATCATCAGGATTCTCAAATTTAAACTCCTGACATTGTTCCTAGGAAGCAGAGAGATTGGTCCTACATTCCACACTCTAACAGCCATGATCTTTACATTGTAAGTAATTTGCTACATCAGAAAATTAAGTACACTTGCAAATAATACTTTGCCTGTAGTATCTATACTGTACAGCAAACTAAATTAAAAAAATATCTCGGGAGGCATTTAAATTATTTCCTTTCTCCAATGTATAAACACTAATATTCTTAAATATTCTTATTATAAAGTCTGCTGTGAAATCTTACATCGCTGTCTTAAATACTGTACTACCGGTAATGTATTTTAAAGGTTCCTTGTTGCTTATTCATTTTGGACTACAATTTTAGTGTTTACTATTAAAACTTTCATGCAATTGCTAGGTATAAACCATATATTAGAAAGGTACTCTAAATGTAATTAGTACTTTAGCATTTCATAATTTTACACCATTAAGAAATATCAAACCGGGTAACATTCTGGGGCTGTTATCCAGTTACAAACCTCCAATGGGAGCTGCGTAGGAAACGGCTACACCCATAGTGCAAGCAGCAGCGAGAAGGTCAGTAGAGCGTGCATCATTCTCCACAGTTCCTTTAATATATCTTAGCATCTTTGTGAGCATTGTAGCAATTATACTTGCCATGTGCATCACCGGTCCTTCTTTACCAAGAGGCAGACCAGACCCTAGAACGGCAGCCAAACCTACTATCTGTAAATATAAAACGACAGTTAAAACATGACTTATTGATGAACCCAGTACAATTTACTGTAAATAAAACCAGATATTGTGATATATATATATAAATTATGGCAATATTAACAAGTCACTTCCTCCTGTCAATGCTCGATCACTTCCGATTTATATTTTCATTACGTAAATATACAAAGACATTTTACACAAGATATGTAAAAACCTTTGCAAAATGATAAGCATTTTATATATTATTACAATACTTATATTTTTTAGATTCAGGTATGATATAAAACTTAAATTCTATACTGTAATAGTGTATTCATTGCTACTAACTGATTAAGTGCACACACTTCTACATAGCATGCATGTTAGAAAAAGAACAGGCTGGCACACATGTCCACTCAATTTCCCTATTACCATTTATCGTTTCTATAGCAATTCTGACTGCACTAAAAAGTCGGTCAATATAAATGCACCAGATACAATGCCAAGGTGGGGCTCTAGATCTGGATCTTGCTACCCATTGCAACACTTTGATAAGCACAGATAATTGTACAAGTTAGAGAAATGGGTTGGGGTGACAGGGATGGGGTCTTCAATGGATAAACCTAGTATCTATGATACAAAACACAGTTTGATCAAACATGATGTGACAAGGGCATACTGTCCAGATAAACCGACTCATTTTCCATCAAGTTTTCCATATGGCATGAAACTAACGGAGAGAGTAAACATAGAAGATTGTAAACGACCGCAATAAGAAGTTTAACAGCCTTCAGAAACCAGGGAGAGACCTTAACTTTATCAAATATAAAATGAAACAAGATAGAGGCATGCCACTAGACTGGTACCAGGCCAAGAGATATGAACTGCAAAATAGACTAAAAGATCTGGTGTCATTGAAGAGAAAAAACGAACATTAAAATATTCATGATATTGTACAGCACTCATAAAATTAACAAAAATGTATATACAGTATAGTACAGTAGTTCCAGCGATGTGTCAATATTTCATTCAAAATGATCTGCTACCAGAAATTTTAGCCAAATATCCCCAGTTTGCTAACTGTAGGTAGTAACTAAGTGATTGTAACCTATCCACCGCTGCCCACTGAATGGGGGGCGGTGTACAGGACAAACATATAAATTTTGACACTAGGCTCTCCACATATGTCAGTTGCTTAATTTAGAACCTGTACTTTAGGTCGATCTCGAACCCATTGTTGATGTGATGACATATATTGAATTTTGTAACTAGCTCATCAAGATTGTAACTTGCTTAGCTAAATGAATTGTGGGGTTCAGTCCCTGAGCCCATTATGTGCCTCTGTAACTCTTTCCACTACCGCCCACAAGATGGGTATGGGGTGCATAATAAATGAACTAAACTAACTAAAAAAACTATAGTACAGTACTGTATTTGAAATGGAAGAGGTCATGAAAGAGGAAATGTGCATAAAAATTAGGTATGCAAAATAAATTGATATATCAAAATAAATTGATATAGAGAAATAAGATATAGATATATATAAATAAATAAATATTAAATAAAAAAACTTCAATATCAGCGTTGATGAAAATGTGGACCTAAGGATTGGAAATGGACTTTTAATTAGATTAAAAAATTGAAGGCTGATGGACAACACTAACAGTTAAATCTTAACCTCAACCATACATATACCATATACACATTAGGCTTATGTTTAGGTCACTTCTGCCCATCAATGTCATACTACTGACCTTCCCTTAGGATGCAATCCCACAACAAGCCGACTAACAGGTACCTATTTAGTGCTATGTGAACAGTAGCATTAGGTGATAGGGAACATGTGGGACAGTAATGGTTGGACATCAAGTTATCACAAAAACCACATTAAATATTAAACTCAATCATATTGTACACACAATCATACTGTACTGTATTACTATAATCATACATGTATACAGTGTATAATCATATTGTATTACCTTGGCTAGTAGAGTTTTCCACGTAAGATATTCTTTAAGCACTACACCCCTGAGGATAGTTTTCATCTCTGGAATACCAGAGCCAGCAGCAGAAGGTGCCATCCACTGACAGAATGCAGCAGAAAATATCACCAATAGCGTAGGAATGACAACCCAGGTAAATAGTTGTAGAGCCCAGTGGATTTTGCCTAGATTTTCTTGCAAGTACATTCGACCTGGAAGACAAAAATAAACTTGTGCTCAAATGCGTCACAAATATTACCGATATTTACGAACCACATACAGTACAAACACATTTTATGTATTACTTTCCCCACATTAAGAACCCAGGAAAGCAAGCCTATTCGGTATGCATTAAAAATATGAAATTATTGTGACTTTGCACATTTTAATCAATGTGGGCAATCAAAGAAAAATGTAATGTGATATACAGTAATAAGTACAGGAAGTATAGTAAATACAGGTTCTAGAAAGGGAACGAGACTACAGATGGAGGCAACATAGAAGCAAGTTACTCGCTTTATTTAGGCAGCTCAGAATAGATTTGAGAGGAAAAAAATCCCGAAATCTTGCCCGAAACGCTACGCGTACTAGTGGCTGTACAAGAATGTAACAACTCTTGTATATTTCTCAAAAAAAAAAAACAAAAAAAAACTATAAATGAAGTACAGTATACTGTATAGTCCAAGAAATGCTGTCACAAGTAAATACTGTGTAGGAGAGTGGTAAGACAAGAGTAACCAATTGTTCAACAGATAATGCAAGAATCCCAAATAAAGAAAAAAGATGGCAAGAGAAAGAATGCCCAGGCAACAAAGTACCAGAGCAGACTAGACATTAAGAAGTGCAAGAAACCTGTATATTAGAGGAAAGAAACAAGAGGCAGTTTGAAAATGACATAGCAGCAAATGTTAAGAAACAGCCCAGACACAGCACTACTGTACAAGATAACAATGGTAAATAAACACGTTATTAGCAGAAGAAAAGAAGATGCCATCACTGCTCGAAACGCTATGTGTGTTAGTGGCATTGTAAGAATATAAGAACACCAATGTATTCTCACAAACCTATTGTACCTTGTATATAGATAAAATAAATATAAATAAATATCTATAAATAAAAATAATATAATAAATATACTGTATCGATAATCTCTCTTATTGCTTTCCCGAGCATAAAACTAAATTTAAATTTAAAGTACAGAATAAGGCAAAATGTATATAAAGGTGAGTGGTAATCCTTGAGTGTTTTTAAATGATTGTGAAACTATTTAAGTAGTGATACAGAGATGTCATCACTGTATTCCTGTATTCATCACATTGTAAGAGAGAGACCCTTGTGTAGGGAGAAATAGCAGTGTTAAATGTTGAAAAACAGTCTGGAACTCTGACCCCCTTCAGATGCACAGAGCATCATCTCAACAGGAAAATATCATCTAAAAACCAATGTAAACAAAAGAGATAAAATGGTTTAAAAACAACAGACTCAATGCAAGAAAATATAAAGAAACAACAGTGTTTAATGTAGAAAAACAGCCTGGAACATTATAAGACATAAATGAAGTATTGGGAAATGTGTATGACATGTATAGGGAGGGGGACATTATTGGAAGCAGGCAGGCAGGGACATGTGCAAGCCCCTATCAGTCACTTGGGAGAGGGAGGCAGTGAGAACAAGACCAGTGTTGTGGATGGTCTCCAACAAATACGATAAGTGCAGTTTTATAGATGTTTATAGCGGTGCTTCTCCTTTTCTTTATGAGTTAGAGATAGGAATTTGTGGAAATAAGGATTTTGGAACCATGTGTGTAGGGGAAAGTGGTGTGTTATTTCAGGTGTATGTGCTCAGCTGTGTGTCACATGGGGGTTACCCACATTTATTTTGTATATCCATTTGTGTATTGTGGTCAGAGTAGTGTATTGTTAAAACCCAGACCCTTTTTAGTGACCTAAGAGGAGTGGAATAGAGTAATTACCTTAAGTCACAGGTTGTAGAGGGAGAAGAAACCTCCCCCCCCCCCTCCCATTCTAAGAAGTGTGAGGAAATCTGGTATTTGTCAAATAAATTTTTTTTTTTTTAAATTGTACCCCAAGGTGACTTTACAAGAATGTAAAATCAACATAATTTCTATGTTCTCTCTTAACCCCCAATGTAAAAACTGTTGGGGTTTGTTAATCGGAAACAGAAAAGTTTGTTAAAATAAATGGAGAATTCTGTTTCCGATTATGAGCCATTAAAGCTAGCCTGAATTATAAAATAATTCCTTTAGTCAAAAAGAGCAGCACAGACAACTGCAGTGATGTGTATAGTATTAACAAAATGCTAAAAATAAATACTGTACCTCCAAAACATATAAGGACGATGTCATCAATAAGAAAGGAGATGGTTGCCATGAGTGTGCCTAGGATGAAGAGGAACACCCAGTCCTCACCCAAGCGGGCAAATGTGTGGTCCCAAATTGGTCTGAAATGTAAAGTTATTGTAATGAGCCACCACCAGATTTATTATATTTATTATTAATAATTATTAATGACATTTCCATAAAATAGGCTAATAAAATAAACAGTATAGACAGCATCATACAATTAAATAAATTAGAGCTGCAGAAAAATAAACACAGTACGCTAAGTATTATCTAATTTCATATTCACATCTGTCAAATGGCGATGAAAGTAAATTGTCCAACATTCAAATTAATCAATCTGGCATAAACTTTAAAAATAATTCCTAATAAATTCTAAGGCCCAAATGAGGTGTTTAGCAGTCTTAAAGGAGTGCAGAAAGGAACTCTGTGACCAACTAGTATCACGCTAGCAATCAACAGTTATAGTTGCTTAGAGGTTGGACAATGTGGCTCCCAATATTCAAGAACAGGGATAGATCCCTTAATGTGAACTTTGATAGTGGGTAAGTACCTTAGTATAAGAGGTAATTAAACAAGAAAACATCTTGACATCTATTGCCTAATAATCTGCTATCCTTCTACGCAAGCATTTTCAAGGTAGTTGACAGCAATACAAATTATATCTTCACCATTATTAAGACCTTTAACAATGGTGAAGTACAATTGTACCCCACGAGAGGCTGATCAGTAACATTGAGCCCCTTACCATTGATGGGAATGTTCCCATTTTGATTAGATCCTGGTTGAGGGATTGAAAGTATTAACATGAGTTGAAATGAAGAAATGTCACTCCTGGTATGCCCCAGGGGTATGTTTTCTGGGCCTTTCCCGCCACACACACACCGAAACTACGACGTTGGTACAACGTTCGAACAAGTTTTAACACCTAACCAGTTATAACCAATATAGCAAGGTGTAACAACGTTTTAATACGTCATAAACACGATGTAACAACTTTATTACAAGTTGTAACAAGCGGAAAATATAGACGATTTCAGTTGTTTCCAGGGTTATTCACATTGTCAATGGCCTAAATTTACAAATAACACTAAAGTTGGGCAAATACTAAACTCAAATGAAGGCTATGAATCTCAGGATAAACCTCATTACATTGCAGAACTAGTCAAAATTTTAAGATGAAGCTCAACATTAATAATGCCAATGTCCTAAAGTTTGGACACTAGTGTCACCGTCTGTTGGATGAATGATGCCGATTTGGGCATGTTACAGCCCGTCCTTACAAAGGATGAAAGTGATTCCAAGCACCCGCCAAATCCCCCGTTTATGAATGAAAAATGGTAAACACACTACTGATGACGTCTGAACACTTCTCAGACAGTGCTTCATTGGCGACTTTTGTTCGAACCCTACCACTGTAAATGCCAGCCCGTCCTCCAAACAAAGATCCAAAAGTGATTCCATGCACCCGCCAAACCCCCTGTTTATGAATGAAAAGCGGCTTACACACGACTCAACTGCTGACGTTCGAACATATCGGGAACAAGTGCTTCACTGACGAATTTTGTTCGAACCACAACGCTGTAAATGCTTCGCCCACGTACTACAAATACAAATAATCGCCAACAGAACCTAAACACCTGACCTAACCTATGCCTATGCCTATTTATACACAATATGCTAATATATTATAATATTAATTTATACTTAAGAAAATTCCCGTTTTGAATGAACAGCATGTTAAAATTTATGAATGCGTCTGTGGGGTCGACCGCTGAATGTAATGGACTTGAGTCGATGATGGGTTGCCCGTCCTCTAAACAAAGGCCCAAAGTCCATTCCATGCATGTTTTCAAATTTATATAATATACATGTTTTCAGATGATTATATGGTCCCGCAGGAGGGGTGAGCCCCATGTTGGGAGCGTTGTCACCACTCATGAAGGACAGGCTGCATGTACCCAGTGGGCACTACCCAAGAGTGCCGCTTGTTCCGAGCTGAATCTACGTTATGAACGTTAATTCATTCAACGTTGATTCTGCGTTGCTCTTTAATATTATGGCCAATGGGTAGGATGTGTGTGATTCAGGTCAATGTACAGGACCGGGGAGTTATGCAGCCGGTCATTATTTACAGGGATATATTGATTGTTGGGAGGGACTAGAGCAGCAGCAGGCGCCACGCTACACTCCCTGACCCACTGCCGGAGATGGCTCAGTCCCTCCAACGTCAGCTCATTCTCAAATTATTACCCCCACTGAGCCCTTTTCCCATTAAAATGTAGTTCAATTCCGCAATCAAAAAATGTATATAGTTTATATCGTATGTATTTAGATATATAGGTGTATATGTATATACACATACATTGTGTGTAATAAGCACTATTACAAGATATATATATATATATATATATATATATATATATATATATATATATATATATATATATATATATATATATATATATATATATATATATATATATATATATATTACTGTCCCCTCTCTCGAGCCACAGATCTACAGTATCAACTACTGGTACTGGTAATGGCTCCAAACAGCCTCCACTTTAGGGCTATTCATGCCTGAGCCACCTCTTGGGTGGCTTAATCTCTCACTTTATATCTAGAAATCAATCTCCTCTCCCAGCCTAATTGGTTCACTCCTCTGCCGTTCCAAGTTTGAATGCAATTCAATATAGCAGTGGTAGTATGCCATGCAATTTAATTACTGGTTATGTTAAATGTTTATCTGGTTAAGGGAGAAGCGATTTTTTAATATGCTATTGATATATATCTCTGGCTGCTACCTCAAATTTTTGTTGTTGGCAATTATTAGCATTTTGCCAACAACAAAAATCTGAGGTAGCAGCCAGAGATATATATCAATGTTGGCATTTTGTTTGCGTATTTCTCATCTATAACAACGCCTACACAGTCTTAAACAATTGGTTAACTAGGCAACGCCGCTGACGCAGATGAACACAGTACATTGGTCCGTGGGCGAAAACTTAATATGTTGTCTCAATATTTCAGGTTCAAGGCTCATCCTGAGAACTAGTTTCAAGGCCAATTCAATTTCTTTATTATGCAACCCATGCCTATCCCGTGGGTGGTGGTGGAAAGGGTTACAGAGGCACATAATCGGTTCAGGAAAGGCCAGCCGGTTTTTTGCCCGTTCCACTGTTTCAGCGTGGCTAGTGATAGTAGACCATTTTATAACCGTCTTATTACATGAACAGTAAAATGTCATCGGGGACGTCCTACTGCTGATCAACGTGCCAGTTTTGAGCATGTCTTACGGAACAAGATAATGAACGTAACGTAACTTATGATTATGGGGACCGATTCAAAGTTCTAAATCAGTATTATCTAGAGCGCAGGCGAGAGAAAGACAGATCAGCCCATTCTTCTGTTCAGACAGTATTTTTTTTTTTTTGTAACTGTGCGCCATAGTACAAAAACTGCCGTTCTATACAAAGTAGAACTTTGTACTATTAATTTTACAGTGAGGCAAAATGAAGCTAAAAAACAAACCAAAATATTCCTAGGCCTAGTATAGCGCACACATTTACTATATTAGGCCTCATATCGTGTATTAGGCCTAGGATGGTTATATTAGGTTATTTTGTCTTTGCAACATATGTATAAAATAGTTTTCCCGGTTTGTCCAACTCAATAGTGCCGATTTCGACTTCCTAGTTTCGTTGTAGGTCGGTATGTATATATATATATATATATATATATATATATATATATATATATATATATATATATATATATATATATATATATATATATATATATATATATATATACACACATACATACATACATACATACATACATATACACACACACACACACACTATGGTCCTCATCGTTACTATAATTACTACGAAAACGGGAGGATAGGCTGTATAATCTACACGTGGAAGATATCAAAGGGAATACTGGTTCCAAATATGAACACTGAGATTACATTATATGAAACCAATAGGAATGGCAAGATGTACAAAAATACCCCCGGTTGAAAAGCAGAGGTGCGTACTAGTGGCTTTACAACAATGTAATTACTATGCTATGTATCCTCACAATCCCAATGTACCTTCTTGTATATATATAAATAAATAAATTGGTACTCTGAGAACTCCAACAAAGGCCCAAGACTTTTCAACACTCCCGCTACATACATAATAACTAGCCGGCCTCTCAAAATGTTCAAGAGAGAACGACAAACATCTCTGAATACCTGATTAATCAGGCTGTGATTCATACGCCAGGCTGCGAGCACCCGCGTCAACGGCCTGGTTGGAGACCGGGCCGCGGGGCCGTTGATCCCCGGAAGCTACACAAGGTAGCCACCACATATCCAAACAGCGCAGCGCTCCGGACACGCTTATGGCTAGTATCGACTATCCAATTGTTAAGTTCGAGCTCTCTAGATTCACATCCATGGTGTAAATACAATGCAAGCATATTACTTACTGTTGAATACTAATTACTATGAGAGGCTAGAGATCCACAACTTGATTTGATTTTACATGAATTGTATAATACAATAAGTTTACTTAAAATACTTTAAATGTTGGTAAAATAATATATATACTGAACACAAACATTTAAGGATACATTGTTTCCTAAAAAAATTCATTTTTCTCTTAGGCCATGGGTCAGTAGCCCCTAATTATCATTAACATAATAATATTATAATAATAATAATAATAATAATAATAATAATATTGAAAGCTCAATCAACGCCTGTCTTTTACTGGAAGGAAAAATGCACAGCTCCCACCAGGACCGATCCAGTGAACTTTGCCATAGTGATGTGATATTGTTTAAATAGTACTTTTTGCAACTAATGTGCAACATAGTGTACATATTGACGTAAACGGCAATTAGATAGTAGAATTTTATACTATTTACTTTATGGAGTGAAAAAAACATTTGAAATATTTTAGGCCTAGTATAGCACATACGTACTATATTTGGCCTCTGATAGCGTGTATTAGGCATAGGAAGGTTAGGTTAGTTTAGGATGTCTTTGCAACGAATACAAAACCTTTTTGGGTTTGTCCAAATTCAAATGGCAACGATT